AAATTTCAAATACAGTTGAACCATTGCTTCATCATTTGCAGTTGTGTTTTCATTGTGGTTACCCATCCTCTGGGCTCCTGTCGTTCCTGAAGTCTTCTGATTTGCCCATTGTTTATATATTTTGTTACATACTGGTTACACAGGACCCTCAAGCTCCTCTGGTAGAGGCCCCAAGCTTGGAGGATAGACCGTCCACAGGGGGGAGCAGGGAATGATAATAATAATAATAATAATAATAATAATACTAATTATATATATATATATCTATATATGTATATATAGATATATATACATATATATACATACACATATATGTATAATGAAACCAATTACATAATTATAATGTAATAACAATTTGACCTAAACCCATAATTTGTCTTTCTCAACAGAACAGCTGCAGGTTTTGCTGACAGTACATCATATGGTAGTTTAGCCTGTGTACTTTATTTACCCCAGTATTAAAACAAATGAGTGTATTCAGCATAAAGTGTGGACATATAAGATGATGCTGTCACTAGCTCATGCTGAAGTCTGAATTTGAATCAGCTCCTGTGATCACAAAGAGAAAAGAATCATCACAAACTGTCAAACGCGTACTCCTCAAAGCTGACAGAATTCAGGTTTGGAACTTTTTCCAGTCTATAGCTAAGATGTGGCCTGTTTGTTAAGTGAAGAAAAAACTTTATATACCAACAGTAGGGCTGCCACGATTACGTCGACTATTAAAATCGCCGACGACTATTTTAATAGTCGACGCGTAGTTTAAAGCTTTATAAGATCCCAAAAGACGCAGGAATAAGTAGTAGGATTTAAGAGTGTAATAACGGACTGAAACAGAAGATGGCAGCACTGCATGTATAAAGATGCCAGCTGCCGTCAAATCTCGAAGAAGAAGAAGCAATAACTGTGTCCAAATTCAGGAACCGCATCCTCCTGTGCCCGCATTTGTAGGCCGATTACGTTACAGCGACACGACGAAGACTGTCCAAATTCGAAGACTCCGACAAATGCTGCGCCTTCATTTCCCCAGATTTGAAGGATGGGTCGGGTGTATACTTCGTGGCCCAACCTATCCCAGAATTCATAGCGCGGCCCTGCTCAGTTTCCAACAATGGCGGCAGCTAGTTAGCGTTTTTTTGATACAGGCGACACGGGCGGTTGCCCGGGGCGGCATCGTGGTGGGGGGGGCGCATCATCTCGGCAAACGCATCGGCAAAAAAATATAAAAAATAATAAAAATTGCTCGTATTCATGCTGCCCCGACGTCATGCCAGCGCACATTGGGAATGGCATAGGCATCGATCGGTTTTCTATCGCCCATTTGCTGGGAGTAAGGGCGCCCTCCGTTTGCGAGGTGCGCCTGCTGCTTGCGGAACAGGGAGGAGAGGGCGGGGCGGGTTTAATATTAATTAGTCATTGTCAATTGTTGATTTGTCCCGTTCTCATTGTATGACAAATTATGATGGCTGTTTGGTAGCCGTTTGCATACTATGCATACTCTCTCTCTCTTCATATGTGTGTGTTTCTCTGGTGAAATTCAGTGTGGTTCCGACAACAGTTTTATGTCAATGGACAATCCTTAATGTGTGAGTGTGTGGTGGTGGGGGAGGGGGGGGGCACCAGAGGGTGTGTTCGCCCAGGGCGCCAAACAGGCTAGGACTGCCACTGATGGCGGCAGCTAGTTAGTTTTAATATTACTCTTATTATTCTTTCTGGGTCACAAAATAAACGTTTAACATATTTTCAGGCGAGAATGTAGCTGTGTAAACCTCAAATATCTGGCTCAGTTTATCAAGACACCACATATTTTCAAAAGCGCTCCGACGTTTTCGGAGACGTCTGTTACCCACTAAGCTCGATAGCTAGCCGAGGCTCACTAGAGCCCGGTGAGACACACTCCCGGCAAATTAAACATGATATATAGTCACTTAGATAACTTAAAAATGTTATTGTTTGGCTTTTTTCAGTATTTTATTTGTTCCTGAGTAAATCGGTTTGGCTGAGATAAAGTTAAAGTTTTTACACAGCTGAATAAACGTCAAGCAGACAGCTGATTATCAGAAGTGTGAGATGCTGGAGAATATACTCCGGTGTCCTGTTATATTTTAGATAGCAAGGAGTTTATTAAACTTCACCGAAACAATCTGCAAATTTCATTAAAATTTAATAAACTATCATCTTGTCTTTATTTTTAGTTAGACAACCTTAAAAGCTTAAAGCTGTAAGCTAATGATAGTTATATAAGAGCAGATGCTGCTGGTGCAATAAGCTGTACGTTTTACATCCAGTGGATGATGATCTGATTAGTCGACTAATCGCAATAATAATCGGTGACTAGTCGACTATCAAAATAATCGTTTGTGGCAGCCCTAACCAACAGTATAATGTTTTTACATTGGAGCTATTGGTGCTTTTTAAAAGGAAAGTTGCAAAGATGACATGAACCAGGAAAAGGTTTCTTGTCCTGATTCTGAATTATGGTCACCTGCAGGAAAAAACAGAAAAACATCCTGTTCTTCAATCAAAACAACAATTTTAACCTAACATATCAAATATCATGATTTGGTCTCAGAATATAAATATTATGTTCTATTAGGTATTTTTTATGTCCTTTCAAAAAGAATAGTGTTACTCGTCACTTATTACTCTTCTCGACTCTGCATAAGAGTCCAGCCTATTGCTCTTACAGTATACTATTCATAATAAAAGTACAATAACAATAGCATTAGGTAGTGACTGAGCAGCTGCCTGCTGCAGTCAGAGCAGCAGAGCTAATGTCTGAACTAGAGCACTGACTTTTAATTAGCATTAAATCACTTAGCTCAACAAAGTGATTTCTCTACTCAGTGTAAATTCGTTCGTGTACAAAGCTACCAAACACTGTTGTTTTCCCTTGCTGACTGCTAAAGGCATGAATTTATTGATTAGCTCAAAACACAAATTTAACTTACCAAAATAAAGTCAGGATGCCTTAGGTTCTTCTGTCAGTTACTCCCGTTTATTGTAGAACACCTAACACTGTCAGTTTGAAACAGATAGCCGTGGATATGGTTCTAGCTGCAGTCCCGGAGCAGAGACGTGGAAGTTTGTCGTGACTGCAGCTGACAATCAAAGCTGTCATGATGACGTTGCATCCCAATTTTACAGTTGATAATTAAAATTTAACTGATGAGAACTTAGACCCCTTGAACCCAAATCAGCAAGATGAGAACTACTAATAATGGCAGAATGAATCTTTCAGGAAATGTGATCTGATTAGACCTTTTTGGTCTTAATTTGACAGAAGGTGGGGTTTATAACACCAGAGGGTGATAGAGACGTTTTGGCTTCACTGTTTGATCTTCCATATACTGTCGTTGTGTATAATTAAATGTTATTAATAGTTAGTATTAGACATTGAGTTTTGGTTCATGCCTACTCACCTCCTTTAAATCCCCATCATTGTAGAGTTGATGCTAACATCTCTGTATAAGTGGTCTCACATTAACTCCAGTTGCCTAGGACGATGGAAACAACAGACAAATACCACAAAAACACACCAACATAAACACACCATCACTATACTTACATGTTACATGTGTGCAAAAAATACCTAAGAGACATATAATAGATAAATTCCTCAGAAGTCCTACGAGTCATTTTCAGCTTTGTATCTACCTGTATGTGCCCTTTTTGAAACAACAAAATTGTTTATTCAACATTCAGTATTTTCCATCCATTCATCTTCTTCCGCTTATCTGGGGGCAGCAGTCTAACCAGAAAATCCCCGGCCTCCCCCTCCCCAGCCACGTCCTTCAGCTTGTCTGGGGGAACACCAAGGCCGAGAGATATAATCTCTCCAGTGTGTCCTGGGTCTAGCCTGGGGCCTCCTCCCGGTGGGAAATGCCGGAACACCTCACCCAGGAGGCATCCTTGTCAGATGACTGAACCACCTCAACTGGCTCCTTCCAATGTGGAGGAACAGCGGCTCTACTCTGAGCCCCTCCCGGATGGCCGAACTTCTCACCCTATCTCTAAGGGAGAGGCTAGCCACCCTTCAAAGGAAGCTCATTTCTGCTGCTTGTATCCGCGATCTCATCCTTTCGGTCACTACCCACAGCTCGTGGCCATAGGTGAGGGTAGGGACGTAGATTGACCAGTAAATCGAAAGCTTCCCTTTTACACTCAGCTCTCCCTTCACCACGACAGACAGGTACAGCATCCGCATCACTGCAGCCGCAGCATCAGCCTGTCAGTCGATCTCCCTCTCCCTTCTCCCGTCACTAATGAACAAGACCCCGAGGTAATTAAAGTCCTCCACTTGGGGCAGGAAATCGTCCCTGACCCGGAGTGGGCACTCCACCCTTTTCAGGTTGAGGACCATGGCCTCAGATTTGGAGGTGATGATTCTTGTTCCCACCGCTTCACACTCACTTCTAACCGTTCCAGTGCGAGCTGGAGGCCATCACCTGATGAAGCCAACAGAAACCCATCATCCGAGAAAAGCAGAGATGAGATTCTGAGACCACCCAATATTTTCTAACATGCTTAAGTAACTGTCAAGTGTACACATGCGCAAAATGATGAGGTGCTTGAGTGCTGTGGATGTTTCACAAACATCAACAAACTGCTCATTTTTACAAGTATTTAGCAGTATTCGCATAAGTCTTCTTTAAAAATGTAATAATTATTACAATTTGACTAGAGTTTATGCCTTGCATGGACCATCATGAACAATAACAATAATTGGGCTAAATCTTCATGCCTGAATACTGAGAAAACTGTTACAATGTATTTTACAAGGAACTACAAAAGTGCATTTTCAAATATTTCAGTTGATAGTAGGACTGTTCCATTGTTCACAATAATAATGGTATATGTTTTTACATGATGTAACATTCTCATATCATCACTGTGTATGTAAGTGCTCTCAACACAGCCGAAGCACAAGTCACAACATTTCCACTAGGCCTTCAAGGCTTTGGCTTCAACACCACCTGCAACAGTGGTGACAACACTTCTGACACTGACATCAGCATAAAGTGCTTTAGAACTCCAGCACAAATGGAAAGTTATTTGCTGACCGAACATTTCTGTCGAAAAATATGAGCAGTTTACAGTAGTATTCATTTCATGAAAGTAATTTGTTTTTGTTTTTTTAGTAATCATTGTCGCTTACAGTGCACTTCATTGACTATAGGAATATAGGAATTATTAGGCAACAGAAAACTTCTAAGAACTGTTGGGAATCATCATTGAATTTTAATGTCTCTATATTCTCTGTGTTACCATGATCTTCCATGTGATTAGTCAGTTTTCAGAGGCTGTGTTTAGAGCAGTGTGAGGTGAGCAGTCTGACCTGGACAATGCATATTTTTTTCTCTCCCAACATTCATTGGATTCTGCTCAGAAAATTCATTTCCAAGGGCCAGACTATTAAAGTGGAGTTGTGCAGTGATAGCCTCAGGGGTCTGAGTGGGAACATTAAGAGGAACAAATATAGAAACAACCTGTGCTCTTCATCAATGTACTATCTTCCACATGATTTAAAGTTAGATTCGCCTCCATTCAGCTTAGTTCACCTCCCATTGTAGAGGCCCAAATAGAAGAGGACATGGCAGGACTTCTAGTAAGAGATCAGAAATAGCAGCCATGCTGGAAATGTTCTAGAGGTGCACAACAATTAATTATCAGCCAATTTTGAATCAAGTTTTGAACTTTATTAATTTGTTCTCATAACAGTTTGAGAATTAGTAATAAATGAAAGCACAAGTGTGCATTATATGTATAAGATAGATGAGTTCAGGTCTTAATAAAGACAAGCTTTACAACAGGGAATGGACAGTGAAGTGGAACAGGTCAGCAGCACATTTTGTTACTACTTCTGGAATAAACATTTATTGTTAGACCAAGTTATTAGATATTGAAGATATTCCCACTAAACACTGGATTTCGGATAGACATGCACATCATGTCTATGTTTGGTTGTTGGTGACCAATTCTGGACATCTATATGATGTCCAAACTAGGCCTGCAGATTGGACGTCCAGCCATGACCCAGCTTGGATTGGATCAATATGTTGTTCAACATTTGACCTTTAGACTGGGTAATCTTTGTTTTTACTGACCTGAGAAGAGAAGTTGTTGAAATTACAAGAAGTTTGTGCAAATGTGCTTGTATGAACTGACTATCTGCTATGTGCTGCAAACTGCCTGTGGCAAGCTGGGGACATTTCTACTTGAAAACCACTGTGCAGCTGCTTACTTTTGTTTTAGCGTCAAGACCCCCCACGCCATCTTGGAGATGTCCACTGATCACTCTGCATCCTTTTACACATAACTGTTTCCCATGTCTCCCTTTGAAAACATGAGACCACAGCAGTATAAAAATGATGTATAAAATGAGTCTAAGTTTGATGTTGAAAGGAAGTCCACAATGACCACAGCATGTGCACGACTGAAGCTCCAGCCCCAGTCCATCTGTCAATTTCCTGCTGCCATTGCCCCTCACTCATGAACAAGACTCCGTTCTAAAACAGAATGATGTCTGGATTAATATTTGCATGTGTATTTTCATTCTGAGGCTGTAATAACAACTAATGTGGGAAATGTTACGTAGTATTTAGGACTTTATTCTCTATAATTTAGAGCACTGAAGTTCAGTACAAGTATCCAGTCCATCTATCCATTCTCTTCTCTCCTTCGCCTGGCCTCAGCCACCTGTACCCAAACTCCCACCCATGTAACAAGTAAGCTCTTAGTTTCACTAATCCTCCCTTTTCGTTTCACTTACTGTTTTTACGCATCAGCCGTTCACTGACCCTCGTCTCCCTCTCTGTCTGCTTGCTCCCTTGGTTGGATTTGTGTAAATAGATGTGTGACAATAAACTTTTTCACTGTGATTCGTGTGTGTCTGAGTGATCAGCTCCATGAGTGTATTTCTCATTACACATGACACTGAGGCAGTAAAGACGTTTGAAAGCATAAATTCTAATTAATCACAATTTTTCACAAGGCATTTTGTCTTTGGGTTTTTCTCCATTAGACATCAGCCTTAAACGTAGCTGCTTGTGTGCTTATAACACACATGAGCAGCAGTTGCCTAATTGTCTACAAATAAGAAATGTCTTTTCCCCCTGTTTGACTGATTAATTTGTTAACAGCTCAGATTTGTCTCACAGCTGATGATAGAAAATCGCACCCTGAGGGCCTATTAAGCTTTTTTTTTTCCCCCTCTGGTGGAAACTTGATTAAGATGTTGCCTAGAAACAGGCTCCTCAAAAAATGGCGCTTGCTGAACCAAGAGTTTGAATTGAAGTCCTGTTCAGCCTGTATGTGCTAAATGCTACATGTTGTGAGACGGAAATATCAAAGTGCCACTGCTCTTCACTCAGCTAACTGCAAAAAAGATACATCATGCACAACTTATTTATGTATAAAACCTGCCTGGTTGTATTGTATGTACAAATACAACCTACAGTGCAAGTTATGATAAACGTAATGACCACCATATAATAAACCAGCAAACGCCTGCTGGCAAACATCATCACACTTCCTGTGTTTTTTATTGCCTGCATGAGTGTTTGGCATTCCCCGATGAGTATCAGTGTGAGATTTCTGGAAATATGTAACAGTTTGTTGTGTGTGTTTTTTCTGCACACACTAATTAATTTCAAAGCAGTTTAATTTATCCATAGGTATTTGTATAGCACATAGGTGCACATTATCATAAAAAAAATTGATTGCATACTTCATATAGAGCACCTGTTCAGCAAAAACACACTGAAAATAACTTACAAGTCTAAATGATAATGCAATCCTTTTAAAAAATCAAAAGTCCAATTGAAATGAGAGCTCTGACAACTCTAGAAAAACCTAGTTTAAAAAAATCCCTGCATAGAGCAGGGCCTTCTTACTACACATCAGTGATCAGGAACAAGAAACTCCGGGTTTCTCTTCAGCACTGTAGCCAGCCTGACAAAGAGTCAGAGCTGTGTTTAGCCTACTGTGTAGTATGACTGTGTACAATAGACATATTTAGCAGTTTTACCAGGTTTTTTAATGTTGTAAGTTTAACATGTTTGTCTGGAACAGGTCTGTCTTGTAAATGAGACATTGGGTCTCAACGGGACAATGTGTGTAAATAAAGGTTAAATAAAATAAATAAATACACTCTTTCTCAAAGATCGAGCCTGATTTTCTTTTCTTCTACAGAAAATGGGATAACACAAACGGAAATTTTAAAATTCATACCATAGGTGCATCTACGAAAAATGTGTGTGTGAAGCACTTACATAGAAAGAGCTTTTAAAAAGTACCTGTGTGAAGTTGTGTAAAGCGCTTTGAGTGCTCAGTTAGAGTAGAAAAGCATTATATAAGAACCAGTTCTGCAAGACTAGAGCAACCAGGAATCAAACCACAAACCTTCCAATTAGTAGATGACCAGCTTTACCTCCTGAGCTACAGCCACCCACCCAGAACAAACTCTTACATCTATACTTCTTTAACAATACCACAC